CAGAGGCGGCGTCGGCCATACGAACAGAAGATAGGCGAGAGACACGAGGGGATCTGGGGATGGGGAGGGAAGTGCCGAAAGAGTTGCGAGAACCCCGACGATCCCGCATCGAGGGAGACAAGCTCAGGTTGTGCATGAACTGAGCAGCATCACTGATGGAGCTTCTGGTGGCAGGGATCTCGACAGTGTTGCCAGCCTCGTTGGGGATGGGAAGAGAGCCTGAAGCACTGCCACGGGCATCTCTGGGCGAACGAGCACCGGGAGGAGGGGGCTCGACGCCAAAGTCAGCATCATCGAAGCGAGGCATGGTGATGGTAGATGAGAGTTGAAAGAGTATGTAGATGTAGAGTAAAGTAGAGTAAACGTAGGAGGGAGATGAGTGGGTAATAAGAGAAGCAAAGATGATATCACTCTTATATGGGAGGGCGGGCCGGATCAGTGTTGTTTGGAGGATTCACTAAACGGCTTCCCGAGACGACAAGGAAGGATGGGATGAAGGGAAAAGGTGAATGAAGACAAGTCAAGATGATAATGAAGGAGATCAGGTATTTATTAACTACCGTAGAACATGGTTTACCAGAACCAGTGGTGGCGGTCAACCATCCCCCTATCACTCTCTTTTCTGTCTACCTTATCCAACGCAGCAGCATAATGAGAAAATCAGGCTCCACCCAGGCGTATCATCATTCCTAGGAATTATCGTCATCATCGTTTTAGGTATCTGAAAAATTGGGATGGTATCATGGTAGCAGCAATGACTGCGGGAGTAACTGTTTCCAATAATGGTTGGTACCAGGGAAATAGTGATACGCCCAGCGGGTACGGCGGAGCCGGCGTCGGGCTGGCTAAACCCTTTCCAGCCCCGACAGGCAGGATTGCCGTGGGTCTTGGTACTTGGGCTGTACTGCGTATTCCGTAAAGGAAGGTATTTATGTTTCATTAGAGAGGTAGACCCTGTTTGATACGGTCTGTAACATTTATCAAGAAATTATTTATCAGAGAGAGCATGGAAAGACGGCGGGGCGGGGACTGAGAGGCCGACGGTGGCATCACTGACGTTCCCACCCACCCATTGGCCGGTAAGGGCTTAAGGTGGAAATTTCTTTACCAGACGAACCGCCCAAGAAATGATTCTCTCAGCCAGCAAGAGGCCAATCTGCACGCTGAGTGGACAGGAACCCACACATGCTTGCTATTGATTGGCTGTTTAGGGTTTTCCACCCATGGAATATGCAGAGATCGATGGAGCCGATGACGATCGAGCGGGCGGCGGCGGGTCAAACGCTCGCGTCGTTTCGTCCTTTTGATTTGCTGGTTGCAGGTAGGCAGATATGATGTCATTGCTGAGGGACTGTGTGTCTTGGTGGGGCATCACATCACTAAGGGGAGAAAAGAAAGAGAAGCAGAGTTACAGAGTAATAATGGTGAATTAACTTTGGGGAATAATTCTCTAAAATGTTAGGGAGATTCAGAATAGCTGTAGGTATTATCAATTATCATCAGCAATTGAGTGCAGAAAAGTAGAGGCAGTTGTAGTGAAGAATGTATGCAGTCAAGGATGTTTGTTGCTTTAAGCTGCAAAGAACAGGAATTGATACTTAGGATAGAAGATTCTGTAGAATAAAAAAAGAATCATAAGTATCAATAAGAGAAAATCCTCATAATCATCATCATCGTCATCCCAGCTTGCCGCCTTCGGTCGTCTTCTGCGACCCCACCTAAGCTTCTTGCTGCACTGCTACCCCTCCGCCTCAAAACCACCCAATAATTCCTCCTCTCTCCCACTTGTCCATCATCCATTCCAATACCCCTGAACATCTTGTTTCTTTTGATCAGTTTTTTCCATTCTCCATTATCCTTGAATTCTTCTACACCAACTACCTCAATTGCGCTCCTAACCTCTCTGCAAAATGTCGGCCGGTGTCACTTTTACTCTCAGCAACGGCGTCAAGATCCCCGCCGTCGGTTTCGGAACCTTCGCCAGCGAGGGTGCCAAAGGCGAGACCTACAACGCTGTCACATGTGCTCTCAAGACAGGATACAGACACTTGGATTGCGCCTGGTTCTACCAGAACGAGGACGAGGTCGGTGATGCCATCCAAGACTTCCTCAAGGAAAACCCCTCGGTCAAGCGCGAGGATATCTTCATCTGCACCAAGGTCTGGAACCACCTGCACCGTTACGACGATGTCATCTGGTCGCTTGAGAACTCCCTGAAGAAACTCAAGGTCGACTACGTAGACCTCTTCTTAGTTCACTGGCCCATTGCCGCAGAGAAGGAGACACAGGAGAAGCCCAAGATCGGCCCTGATGGAAAGGTGATTTGTCCCAGTATCTCAGCCTGAACCCCCTACTAACTAGCAAACAAATAGTACGTCATCCTGGAAGACCTCACGAAGAACCCCGAGCCCACATGGAGGGCAATGGAGAAGCTCTACGAGGACGGCAAGGCCAAGGCCATTGGTGTCTCGAACTGGACCATCGAAGGGCTCGAGCAGCTGCTCAAGATCGCCAAGGTCAAGCCTCACGTCAACCAGATCGAGATCCACCCCTTCCTGCCCAACGAGGAGCTCGTTCAGTACTGCTTCAAGCACGATATCCTGCCCGAGGCCTACTCGCCATTGGGCTCCCAGAACCAGGTCCCCACCACCGGCGAGCGCGTCAGCGAGAACCCGACGCTGAACGAGATCGCCAAGAAGGGTGGCAACACCCTGGCCCAGGTGCTGATTGCCTGGGGTCTGCGCCGCGGCTACGTTGTGCTGCCCAAGAGCTCGAACCCGGCTCGTATCGAGTCCAACTTCAAGAGCATTCAGCTGTCGGATGCCGACTTTGAGGCGGTCAACAAGGTCGCCGAGGGCCGCCATTTCCGATTCGTCAACATGAAGGATACTTTTGGTTACGATGTGTGGCCCGTGGAGACGGCCAAGCAGATGTCTGCTTAATTGGTTTCGCTTTATGCGGGTCATAAAAAATCAATTAACGTTGGGACGAATATCATGATAGTTAACACGGTACATAGCTACATCTGAAACAATTCAATAAGCTAGCTGGATTAGCTGGCTACTAGTATCTACCAGTACACTTCTACAAAGTACATTAGAGTGCAGTAGATAAAATAATGAAACTGCAAAGTACTCCGTATAATACGGCGCCACCAACCACCAATACACCTCCTGTCAATTCCATCCCGAAATTGCTTGAAAACTCTTCAACTCAAAATGCCGCCGTAAATCCAATGAGATGCCGAGCTTCCTACAGGCTGCAGCGTCGATGTAACTGCATGTAGTATCAAGAGGCGGTTGTAAATGTAATACCAATGACTCGGAGGACAGTCCTCCAAGTCAGAACTAGCCACGCAGGATGACGCTATGCTATGCTGCTGTCTCCATTGTAACATTAGCACCTGGCCGAATTTGGATATCCAAGAGAGCTCCGTCAGGGGTTCAAGCCAATGCATACAGCCTTATTTACCTAAGATTTACTACTGCGAAAGCTAATTGGAGTCCGAAACATTATTATCAATGCACCGCCAGTCACCAGCCTCGAGAAATGAGAATCGGGAAATCCCGGGACTCAGCCACGCCCGGTGGGCAAAAACGGAAAAGCCCTAAACACCGAGCTTCCTAAACGGGAACGACCGAGTTTAGCTTGAGACATACCTACCTTAGCAATAATAATAGCTGTAGCCCTACACTAGTAACATTACTCTTGGGGATAAGTAGATAGGATCATTTGAGGAATGACGGGAAGCAGGCCATGACGTCGGCACGAAATTCATTGGGCTAAGGATATTGGCCAAGTGGATCACAGAGGTCCTTACTGTTACTACGGCGCCGCTGTCATCTAACTTACTCCGTACACCTCCTTTGAATGGTGACACTGAATAGGCTATCCTACTGATAGGCTCACGCTCAAGGTTAGCAACGGAGTTGATATGGATATGGATATGGATATGGATATGGATCCACATGGTCCCCGACAATGATTTGTCCATCCTCAAATTGTCGATAATGAATCCGTACTCGAGACAAAGGTACTCACAGGTTGATTCCATCCCTTGAGTGATTTTCTGTAGAGAGAAACAGCTCGGTACGTCCGAGTTGGGTCAAAATGAAGGATGAGAGATTATTCCTGTATAGATGCAGTAACTGTTAGTTTACTCGTCGTTGATATGCTCCCGCTAGGACACAAGGTAATAAGTTCTGCAAGGCTTATGATGGATCAGAAGAATGCATCTGCAGCGGGCAAACCTTCCTCATAAGTCCTATCTAATTACCAAAAGTCAATTGCTGATAGGGATATTAACGACAAGATTCAGCCAAGAGCATGGCCGTCATCTTGGTTTGACCGTACCTTTGCCCACCTATTGCCTGTATTCCTTATTAGGCACCACTTGCATAGCTATCGGATCTGAGTCACCTCACAGTTCATCCTGCTCCTGCTACGAGTCGGATCTACGGAGTCAATCGTCGGTAATGCTCGGCATATACGATAATGGTGATAAACATGGTCAACAAATGACGATGCGACGCATCTCTTCTCCCCCGCACTAAACAAACTACGCTGGACTCTCAAAGGCTAAGCGAGATCTCCATAAACACACCCCAAGTTGGTAGCTACGTAGTCAACTAGATTCCTCAGTGGTATACAATACTTGTAAGATGATCGTCGAGTCATGACAAACAATTGATATGGTTGGCTGGAATTGACCTTTTACCACCTTCACAGAAACTAACCCGAAGTGATGGTGGTAATATTCACATGAAAGCAGGATTGAAGATCAACAGATCAACAAACCACTGCTGATGAACTCACATAACGCCTTACGCACTGATAAGTCGACCGCAACAATAACAATCACAATACAACAACGCTGGATTCGCCAGTCCCATGCGCCTTGCAAACCCCGTAAGCAGCTGATTGGCGGACCAGGCTATGTACAACCTCCAAAGGAGGATCAGTATTGGAAACAAGACAACGATAGAAGCTGAAGTGCACAATCAAGGGCGGGGACGGATACGTCTCGGCATCGGTGTCGATCCAGCATGTGCCTTGAGAATGTTCTTGGATCTTATTCGCGGAGCGCTACCGCTGGTAGAGTCGGACGAGCTCCTATCGTCGGCGTTGGCGCAAGGTAGCATCTTTTTCGAAACGGGAGTACCCGTTGCAACAGCGCTGGGCCGCTTGGGGATCAATTTCTTGCGTTTCTCAACACTGTTGCTAGTGCTGAGAGTTGGGAGGAGCGACGCCTTCTTCGTTCCTGTGGCCGCGACAGGACTGGAATTACTCTTTGGCCCTCCTAGCCGCCGCACACGCCGCGCCTTGGGAGCTGCAGTAGCAGGTGCAGTAGTTGATGCAGCCACTTCTTCATCACTACCGGTCTTAGCTGTCTGGGACCGGGTGCTGCGGTTACTGGCTGCCTTCTTCTTATCGGTGCCCTTCACTGTTGGATTCAAAGCGACGTCATTGCGCTTCCGCTCCCCTCCCTCACTGTTGTTCTCCCCTTGGTACTGCACAAGGCGCTCCTCGTTCCATGTCACATATTTCTTGGCCCCTGTGCGCTTCCGACCGGGATCTGCAGCTTTGCCATCATCGACATCGAGGTTGGTGTTCTGCGATTGTTCCGCCAACGCCTGAAGCACGTATTTCGGCATGACCGCATCCCCTTTGTTGTGACGAGTGTTTCGACGCGTCGCCAGCGCAAGCTCCTGGGCTTCTGTGCGCTGCAGGAAGACGAACTCCGTCCCCTTTGCACGACGAAGAGTCACGGTACGAAGAGTGGGCGTAGTGGTCTGGGGTGGAACTTTGGCAGCACGGTTCCTCGAACTTCGACGAACCGGGCTGGCGGCTTGATTTTCGTCCTCTCGGGCATCAACGCTTTTCCGCGATTCATCATCCCGATCGGGACCATCTGCGGGATCAGACGCTTTGACCGGAGACAGCTGGACTTTCGATGGTGAGGGTGAATTGGTGTCCAGCTCTTCCAGAGCCCGTCGAGCCTGTGGAGTTGGTACGTCGTCCACTTCCTGGCAGGCTTGTTCTGCGGCCACATCCTGCACAGTCATAGCTGCGGCTTTGGCGGCGCGAGCTGCCTTGGCCTTGGACAAGAAGTTATTGAGCAACTCCGCATCCTCCCCACCCAGCGAGCTGCGTAGTGCCGAACGTACCAGAGTGGACTCTTGTTGCACACTTAGACACTGCTCAGATGTGACTTCTGCTGCGATTGTGGAGTCTGCGGTCTCGACTGACAGATCTTGTCGATCATCCGTCATATATGTATCCACGGCTGCATCTGGGGCAATATTGGTATGAAGACTCGCTACATTGATGTCAAGTGGGGAGTCAGGTTGAGCGACCTCGCCGGTGGCATTTATCTCGAAATTGTAGTTGTTTCCAGCGCAATGATCTGCACTGACGGACTTGCCATGTAGCGTGTGGAGATTCGCTGATAAAAGAACCGAGTCCGTGGGTGTGTCTGGGGTCGAATCAAAGGATGTGTCCGTGTCCTGTTCGGCGATTGACGTGGCCGCGTCCCGTGGCTCATCCTCGTCAGCCACAGCGTGACCTCCCTCCTCCTCTTCATCCACATCCATCGGCTCCGTTTGAAGATCAGTAAAGTCGGTATGATTCGTGGGCAGTTTCCCTATAGTCAATCAGCTGCGTGTCTCGTAGTCGCCAAGCCTGGCTAAACCAAAACACCAAGCGAGCATGCATACGTCTTTTCCCCATCGCTTCAGACTCCCATTTTGTCTCAAGAAACGAACGTCCTCGTAGAACTGTACTGTCCGATTGACTCTCAGGATCGTCCAACCCAAAACATCGTCGCTTGACACCACGGACAAACCCCAGATTCCTGGACAAGTTGATTTCGGCGAAGAGATCTTCATCGACGTCCTCGTGCGATGCAGCGACGAGGCGTTGTAACGCTTTCATGCTGTTAAAGGAGGAACGAAAGCGCTTCCAGACTTTGCGCGACTTCGAACGCCCAAGGAACGCGTTCGACGGTTTTCGGTCCCATAGACGAGGGGCGGCGGCGGCCTTGACGGGCGTGAAACTGAACTTTTCGTCCTGATTCTGAAGCTGGCTATGAATATTCAACCCAGCGAAAGCGCGCGCGATTGGCGCACACAGTCGCCACCGTATCAGCGATCGTACCTTGGTCTCTGGGAGTAATGGCAAGGGAGGGAAAAGGGGCAGTGGGAATTCTTCGGCGCTTCCCCGGTCAAAGCACCCCTCGTAATTCACAGGAATGTCAATCGGAACAGAAGAAGCAACTCACCATGCTCGCGACAGAGGGCCCGATTGAAGGGATGGATCATGACCGGTGGCCATCGCTGCTTGGAGCCCCGAGGAATGTCGACGCCGTGACGGAGCTCAACTGTACGTTGACGGGGAATGCAATGTAGAGGTTCAAGCTTCTAGAATACTGCAATAATAGGATACAAGCTTAATGATTGAAGCATAAATGCGACGCTGACAGAGAAGAAAACCATCTATCCTAAGCAATACAAATACGCGTCAAGGCCGAGATGAAAGAAATCATAATAATAAGGTAGACTAACAATTAAGCCGGATGGACGTGTTGATTGGCGGTGGGCGGGCCGTTGCTGTGCCAACCACCTATTAGATAAACCACGAGATACCTCTACATGCGAACAACTCACCTGGAGACGCTGAATTATCTAGGGTATCTCTTTCTATTCCATACCGTGGGGCGACTTGGTCATCCTGTACTTCATGTGTAGTGAAGAAAAAGGTGGTCCTTGTGCCTTGATACACCCAGGAAGACAATCGACAAGTCGGACAGCCGCACAGCACGGTTTCTTTCCAACACCCTGATCTTGTTGAGAAAATGGATAATCAGCACGAATGTTATGATTGAAGAAACTCAGGCGTCGTCTCGTCTACTTGACTCTGTTCCACGACACACTACACCTGTCGTATCCTGACAGGAACAGGCTTGTCATTGTCTGAGATGCCCGGCTTTCAACTCCGCATAGTATGACTATACATCACTGGAAAGCAACAAGTCAAGGAGAGATTGTTTTCGCAATTCTTGAATGAGGCAATTCGCTATGACACACTGCCTTTATCTACTGGATCACATCCGAGTCTCAACGAGCCTCAAGCCTGAGCTTAGGCACGTTTCCTTGATTACACCATTGGCAAACAATGGCATTCACCCAACGAAGGGACTACTTAAGATCTCAACGTCAAATTGACGGAAGTGGGCCTAACATGGCAATAAAAGTTCCAAGGAGAGGCATAGCGAATATCATTCAATTCTGGCTTACTGGTTAGCCATTATCGTCGAAGAGCAAAGAAAAGACACTAGTTGGGCCATACCCCGGTAAGCATAACTCATAAAGTCGTAAACTACTGCCTCTGAATCCCATTACGAAAGCGACAGATAAACTGCCCCCGTAGGTCCATCGCAAACCCTAGAATACCTCCTCCTCCATGTCTCGGTCATCGAAAGGGTCACCAAACTCATCTAGGCATACATTAGCCATAGTCCTCAATGACAAGTACCAGAGGAATCATGACAGTAAGCAAGCTGCCCTTGATTACTCAACCTACCCAGATTAAAGTCCTTGTCGACGATATACTCCATCGCTCGCTGGTACTCCTCCTCCGCCCGTTTGTTCATCCACCGTGCCCCGGGTTGCCTTTGCGGTCGCTGCTGTTGTTGCTGCTGTCCAGCGACCTGTGTCGAGAAATCCGAAGGTCTATTCTTCTCAAGCCCGGCCATGTCCGTGACTTCAGAGTAGTTCTGTGTCTGTGAGCCTGGCGGGGATAGTTCGGAAGCCCCAGCAAATCCTGGGGTGGAGTCATTGAGACTATTGTTGTTTGTAGGCGTGCGGGAGCCGGCTGGTGAGTCGACCGAAGATTCAGGGGATGAGGCCATTTGCGAGTCGCCGTCCAGATCTGTGCTTCGTTAGCAAAGCGAGTCATGCAGCTATTGAGACGTACTGGGTGCGGAGGCGTAGGACTGTGAAAGCGCTGGTGGGAAAGCATCAGAGCCCAGGACTTACCAGTCGGCATCGTAATTTATTTCCAGAAGCAGGACAAACGAATATGAGGCTGGAAAACAGACGGTGATCGTTGGTATAGATGCAGCTGTCGGCGGAGTAGAGACGTCGGAGCTCCGCTGCGGTTTAACTAATCAAGCAACAATGATTTTCCCGTCTTCGCTGGCCTTCCCCGCTGCTGCTCACTATTCTTTTTCTCACGCAACAACTGTCGAGACAAGACCGCTATCAATGGACATATTGGGCTGGATTTGAATTGGTGTCTCTCGTCCCATTTTTTGCTCCCATTTACACCACTAGATCTTGACTAGTCGCCTACATCCCTAGTGTGGTGGTCAATCCAAGTCTAACTCCATTCCCGCCGTGTGAATATGAGCGCAAAGCCTACTACTGCTGGCTCCCCCGATGCTTGGGAAGATGACTGGGAAACACAGGCAGATGTATGTCTTCTATCTCCAATAGCAATGACCATTCAACGATTTGTGTCCGCTCGTCACCTTCACAAGAAGCGACTGACCGGAAAATTTCTCCTGGACAGAAATTAGCCGATGATCCAACCCCTCCTCCAGAGAAGAAAGTATCCTCGAAAGTTACGAAGGCGCAGCGCAGGGCGCAACAGGCCGAGTTCAACCGGCAGCTATGGGCCGAAGCGTGCGTGCATACACCCTCTACTATCAATCTCAATTGAATATTTATGTGTTGATTATGTGATAGTGAAGCTCCACAAACTTTCCACTTCCTAGAGGCTCGTTCCGATGTCCCTTTGAAGCAGGATTTCAAACCAGCGGTGACTGTACTCAGCCGCACGCCTCAATTGATGACGCGCCAGTCATCGTCCAGTGGAGTTTCTTCAGCGACTGCGGGAATCAGTCGGCTCGGTTTGGCGACTAATGATAGCCTGGAGGATTCAGATGACGACCAGAAACGGTCAGAACTGACTCCAGAAGAACGCCATGCCATTGCTCTGAAGAACCTGGAAGAAAAACAACGGAAATACGAGGAAGTGCGAGAGAGACTGTTTGGAAGTCCGTCTGCAACCACCTCGGGTGCATCGTCACCGCGAAGCGCGACTCCTCCCAGACAGTTTGAGGGCAGAGGGAAGGGAAAGAGCCGCGGCAATGGCAGAGACAACAACAGAGACAAGAGAGACTCTTCTGCATCCTCGACGAAGTCAAAACAGCTCTTTGACCCCGGATATTCCTCCAAACCCAATTCAACCTACGTGCAGAAGAAGGAGAGACAGCAAGCTGGCGAGCGGGTATTGAATGACCAGCCACAATCTCCGCGGCAACCCATTCGCAGCCCTAGAGGTCCAGATGCCGGTGGACGAGGTGGTTTCAGAGCGGGCTACAGAGGCGCAAGGGCCACTTGATCACAGCACGTCGCGACGACCGGGGCGGAGCCTTGCGTCATTCGCGCCGGGATGTGTCTTTAGTGACAGAACCACTCCTTGCTCGCTGAAGAAATCATGGCAACCCCCTTCCGGAGTTGATTGCGTTTGCAACCTGCGACGTATTGGGTCGATTTTCTGGGGGACGTTAGTCTTGTGCCAGTCACGGCATGAAGATATACTCACGGGCATATCGCTCGTAGCTGTCAAGATACAATTCGTCAGAGCTAGTTGTCGCCTTGACATGCTCATTGGCCTCAATCGCGTTAACCCATGCGGCCCACCGGCTTCCAGGCTCGGGGTCAGGCCAGCCACGGTACGGTTTGAGCACGCGGCTTAGTCGGAGGATCCAAGGGGCAATCTGGACATCCACAAAGGAGATGCTCGGTCCCAGGAAAAATGGACCTTCGGGATTGGCAGCCGTGATTAGCGTCTTGAGACCGTCTTGGAGCTCCTGCATATTCGCCGTCTGCTTTTGTTCCTCCTGTTCCTGGAGAGCCCTATAGAAACTGGGCACGATGTGACGATTGATCTGCAGCCATTCAGCACCTAGTCTCGGAACTAATGTCGGCCCACACGATACTTACATGGTCGGTCCAGAGCCGACAGTGAGCTCGCAACTTCGCATCGCCCGGCGGCAGAAGGGGTAGACCAACGTCCAAGTCTTCGAGCTGCAGATCCTGGTTAAGAGACGACGGCCTCTCCGTGGGAAAGGAAAGTGTGGGTTGAAACCTACATATTCGAGCAGAACCGAGCTTTCATACGATCCCCAATCACCGTGCCGCAACGCTGGCACCAGGCCTCTGGGGTTCACCTCCAACAGAGACTGAGGTTTTTGGTACGGATCTACTTCGATATATTGGTATGGGATACCCTTGATTTCCAAGGCTATCCAAACGCGTTGTACAAAAGGGCTAGAATATACTTTTTTTAGCTGAGACCGGGCTGAAAGCGTTGATGCTCAGACATACCAGAAACAACTTCCGAACAGTTTTAATTCTGCTTCGTTGGAATGATTTATAACGGTCAAGGCCGCTAAGCCGGTAGCTTTGGTGTGGTATGATTTTTGCTGGGCTTCACTTTGGGAGGGCATCGTTCTAGTCTTAGAAATTTGGTTAGTCTCAAGATATACTTTGAATCGAAACAAGTGTTGTCAATCGAGCAACTGTCTCGTGGATGTGTCAGTTGTAGCAGCTGGGACAAGCGGGGAAGCTGAAGGTCATTTTATGCGGCATCCAGCAGTGACGTAAATAGCGGAAACACATACACACTTAATGGATGACAGTCACACCACAGCGCAAACTTGAAAACTGAAGTAGTAAAAAGAAACAGATCGCACACTTACTGTGACTGCCTTCTTCTTCTCCTTGGCCTCTTTCAGCAAATAGCGCTGAACACTATTTTTCTTGACCCGGTCGCTCTCTTCCAAAGTATGCCGATGGCCTCCGCCCACCCCGTCATTCTTCCCATTCGCACCGTTGCCATTGACCCGCTGGATCGTAAAGAATCTCTCTCCATTCGCCCCGGGATGACCCTCGGGTAAGGTCGGATTCGGCGTGAGCACGCCGAACGGCTGGCTGTCCCTCCTCTGTCCCAAGGCCGACTCATGGAACAACGAGTTCACGCTGGGCAGAAACTCCGAGGAAGGAAAGGACGTCTCGGGCCCGGTCGCGGCAAAGTCCGACACAGCCGCCAGACCGTACCCGGGAAAGTATTCGGTGATTTTGATCTTGACGTCGCAGAGGTCTCGTTGTCGGGCGGTGCGTTTCCGCTTCTTCTTGTTCGGGTCGTCGGATTTGGGGGTCCCTGGCGGGCGGCCTTTGAGTCTGCAGTCCCAGTAGTGGGATACGAAGGGCTTGCGCTTGTAGCGTTGTGTGGAGCGGTGGGAGTAGACGTTGTCGACGTGGGGGAAGTAGGTTCGGAATCTAGTTGCAGAGCAAGTGGTTAGATAAGTGCGTTCGGGAGTCAATGATATGAAGGGGACTGCGTAGAACGTACTGGTCTTCAGTCAAGGTGATCGTCTCGTCCACGTTGAATAGCTTTTCCCTCCAGTATTCAAGGTCGGGAGGATCAGGGACCAGTTTCATGTCTTTCAGACAACCATCCTGTTTCGAGAGCTCCGGGACCACAGAGTAGCCGTCGCTCTGCGGCTGTAGCTGCAAATGATGCGGAAAGGATGGCGATACTTGCAAGCCGGTGTTGCGCATGTGCGCATCATCGTTGGCGCCATTACCATTACACTCAACAGCTGTAGCCGCAAGATCTGGGCGTACTTGCGACAGGACCTGCTCGTGGTGTGCATCGTGATCGCCGCCGTGCGCTAAACAGGATTGCATCTGCTGACCATCCGAAAGAGTACCCGGGAACGCCTGCTCTCGGGATGTTTGGTGGTAGGTATGCAGCTTCTCGTTAAACTGCTGAGGAGATATCAGCTCGGTATTAACCGACTCGCCAGGCCGCGACGGCCGCATAGACACCGGTGTACTGAGCGGATGACCCGCATTGTGATGGTGCCGCTGTTCCTGCGGATGATGGAGATGGAGGTCCGAGTGTTCAAGCGCAGACTGAAGAGGCTGAAGCGACTGCGCGTCCTGAGGATCTGCAAGCTCCTGTGTATGTGACTGGTGATGCGGCCGTTGGGTTGCAGCTAATGCGGACGCGTCGTCTGCGAGGGAGGACAGCGATCGGGGCTGTCCATCAGAAGTGTGAGAGTCGACGCGGAATCGCTGAAGATCCGGGCCGTCCATTTCTCGAGCGGAACATCAAAGCACCAAGGCGGGATTAGCGAGTCTGGATCATGTCGAGTGCTGCTTTTGGAGGAGCGGAAGGGGAATTGGTGGGGAAGTTGAAGCGGCGTGTTGATGTGGAGAGCTGACACTTGACAATTAATATGACGGAGAATTATATTGTTGCGAAGTTGCTAAAGACATCCCACAGAGGATGGATCTACATTTATACATGCCTCCCCCAAAAGTTGCGTAATGGCTTTGATTCCACTTCCCATTTGTGGGACTCTACCGAATCTGTTGTCACGGCGAAATCAAACAGCTCAAAAAAGAAAAAGCAACTATCGGATATTGTGACAGGGAAACCGACCAGCAAACTAGTCAGCTCTACAATTGACAGTTCATATCAACAGAACAATTCCACGTTATTTGTCTCATGTCAAAGGGAAATCCCTATCGATCTTAGTTTGACCTATATCAGGCTCCTCCTGTCCTGCCGCCTTGAGGTCCAGTGCTCGATTTTGCTGAATGGCGTCCAATAGCGATGCTCCTCACGACTCGACACGTCAATATCCATTCTCGTCAACGGTATACCGACGATACATGGTCAAACTCTGCTTGGCGAACGCACTCCGGGCCCGAAGCTTCTCGCCATATCGCGTGAACAGGGGCGGAACAATGCAGAAGATAGTTGCCATGGCCGCCAGCACGGTCACAGCAAGATTTGCCCCTAGAGCCGAGAACAGATGGGGCGAGACTAACGGAAAGACAGCCGATAGGATTGATCGGAGGAAGCTGAGGGCGGAGAACCCGCTCGATGCGTAGCTTAGATAGCTGTCCGTGAGATAGCCCCCAAGGACATAGTCTAACTCGGTCAGCGAGTATCCCACCAACAACAGCGCAATCACGGATACGCTCCAATGCAAATCTTTCACGTCGGGGGGAATGGTCCAGGCGAAGACCCATAGCCCGCCCGCGAGGATAGGTGCTCCCAGCCAAAGACCAAGCAGCTTGTGCTCGGGAAGGAGGACGCGGCCCTGCTGCCGGTGCTGGTCGATGATGTACAGGTCAAGGCAGCGAGTCAGCAAGCCAAGACTAAGCCCAACACCGATAGCGATGAAGGGTAAACTGGCTTGTCGGGGGCTAAAACCAAAGGCTTCATAGATGGGAGGCAATGCTTCCGTGAAAAGATAAACCAGTGCAATTGAGATTGCGCTTATCAAAGACACTATGAACACGATAGGTTCGGTGAAGAAAAGAAGTACAGGCCGAGATAGGGCTAGCCGCGCAAAGCTATGCAGATCCGGTGTATGATCTGGGTTCACTCCTTCCAGCGACTCAACATTTGACGCCTTGCGGAGCTGTGCAACTTCTCTTGCCAGCAACAGCGACGGGCGGGATTCTCGGATGGTGAGAAGGACGAAGGTAAGGAGACCTGTTACAATGGCTGCAATGTAATATAGCCAATGCCTTTAGAAGTCAGTCCGTCAGCAGCTCTTCCGGGCCATCAATCGTCAAGCAACGCTTACCAGTCCATATCTGCAACTATGCAGATGCTCAAAATCGGCCCCACGATGAGACCCAAGTTGCTTGTTACGGCCCAGATACATACCATCCAAACTCGGTCGCGAGCGTTGAACATATCCTCTATACTGCCTATTACCACTGTGGTGGGAATCGCCGATAAAAACCCACTGACGAAGCGGCCCACAACCGCACCAGAAAGTGAAGGAACGGCGGCTACGACGAGACAGCTGACGCTGTACAACGCAGTGCTGACGATGTAGAGCTTCTTGCGTCCGAAAGCTTCAGAGTAGGGCGGGAAGAGGATACCACCGAATGCTTGCCCGAGAAGATACCTATTGTACGTCAATAATGACACCCGCAAGCACATCCACTCTCACAAATGGCTTGGAATGGCTCAAAAGGCGAGACAGGTAACGAACACTGATACAAATATGAAGATGGATGTTGTCTTCTCCAAGCCATATTCTGCAGCTGCAGCTCCGGCGGCGGTTGACTAGGTAGACGATCAGTATAAGTCGATGGTCTGTTGAATAAGTTCATACGACATGAAGGAACATACACCAGAAGTGCTAACAGCTGTTCTGATAGGCTCTTCAAATTAGCGCAGATAACATCGTCCCAGAAAGACAGGCACTTACGTGAAAAACTCAAGGAAGAAGATGAGGCTGATATCATAAACCTTCCGAGAGACATCCCAATTCCGAGGATGTCGACGGTTGCCTATTGCCC